GTCAGAAATCAAATGAGATCAGGTTTGTTGTATATGATGTGGATGATAACTGAAGTTCTTTAGTCAATATGACTACCATATATCAGTTCATTATGAAATACTAAATGCTAAATTCTTTTTGTGCATTTGCTCCACTTTTTCTTGCTTCTCTCAGTTTATCATGTCCTGATCATCAAGGCTCATTTTCCCACAAAGCATATGGTTAATTCTCCCCATCAACATGTGCACATTGAGGTCTCTTCAATCCCACAAGTGCATGCAATGAATGGTTTTTGGAAAAGAAAACTTTCATTTTCATTTCCAAAAATTATTTTAAGATGGGCATCTCACTATGTTGCTCAGGCTGGATTCAAATTTGTGAGTTCCAATGATTCTCTTATATCAGGCCTACAGATAGCAAGTGGATACAGGTGCTCACCACTGTGTTGAGTACAGCTATTATTAATGAGTCATTTTTCTCAGAGAAATGACTGATGACATAATGTAACGAACATTGGGCTGAATGAAAAAATGGGCCCCATGAATGTGGCAATAGGACTGATGCTTTTATCACAGAATGTTGTTGGAATTCTAGGAAATTTCTCTGTGCTTTATTATCATTTGGTGCTTTCCTGCAATGGGTGCACATTGAGGTCCACAGATGTCATTCTCAGGCACCTAATGATAGCCAACACCTTGGACATTGTGACTAGAGGAATTCCCCAGACAATGACTGCTTTTGGGTTGAAATATTTCCTCAGTGATTTTTCATGCAAAGTTATTTTGTACATGCAGCGAGTTGGCAGGAGTCTGTCCATTGTCATCACCTGTCTCTTGAGCATCTTCCAGAACATCACCATCAGCCCCGTGAATTCCTGTTGGAAGGATCTCAAAGAAAAAGTTTCAAAGTACATTGGCTTCTCCATTTCCCTCTGCTGGATCATGTACATGACAGTGAATTCCATTTTTCCTCTCTATATACATAGCAAATGGAACAGTGTAAACACAACAGAGAAAAGAGATTATGGGTACTGTTCTTCTGTAGATCGTGACAGAATCACAGATATATTATATGCAGCATTGTTTGTATTTCCTGAGGTTGTCTTTTCCTTGCTCATGATCTGGTCCAGTGGCTCCATGGTTCTCCTTCTGTACAGGCACAAGCAGAGGGTTCAGCACATTCACAACATCAAAGTTTCTCCCAGAACCTCCCCAGAGTCCAGAGCCACCCAGAGAATCCTTGTCCTGGTGGGTACCTTTGTGACTTTCCACACCCTCTCCTCCCTATTACATCTTTATATCGCTCTGTTTTCCAAACCTGTTTGGTGGGTGGTGAACACCAATGACCTGATCTCCATGTGTTTTCCCACTATCAGCCCCTTTCTTCTCATGAGCCGAAAATTCACTGTATCCAAACTATTCAGGCTCTGTTTGGTCTACATAAAAATTAAAAATCCTGCCGGGTGCTGTGGAAAACACCTATTATCCACCAAACTTTGGAGACCCAGAGTGGAGGATCACAAATGAAAGACTAGACTCAACAACATAATCTCTGTTTCAAAAATGAAAAATAATAAATGCTGCAGATGAATCCCAGGGGCAAAGCAATTCTGCTCTTCATCGCCAGTTCCAAATACAATTAAAATTGCCTAATTGTTTCAAAATTACATCAGTTGCATGTTTTTGCACAAATGTTTAAATGTTTTATTGTTCTTTACACTAAAAACATCTATATAGAAGTGGATGGAAGTGTCACTTGTCTTTCTATTGCAAACCCTAAAGAGCACTGCAATCCTTAGCTGTCTGACTGTGGAACCCACATGGCCGTGGTGGTGGAGGGGAACAGAGCTGGTGGTCCTCACCCTAGGCACAGCATGCTGTAGACAGCCATCCTAGTTCCTGTTCCTGGAGGCACACGGAATGGATGAGTTCCCCAGCCCTTCCAGATCAGTTGAATCACATGGTTGACCAAGTGCTGCACTCCTGGAAACATCGTCAGTAGTAAATACAGTGGAGAAATGAAATGAAGAAAATATTTCTCAGGGGCAAGGAACAGGCAGTCTTATTCAGAATTCTCCTGAAAGGGTTTATTTTTGTGTGTGCAGGGATCCTTGGGTGGGATGCAAACTTTTTTCCTGTGCAGCATCCACCTGGGCCACTCTATACCGCCAAGACTACAATTGGTCCAGTGGCTCCAGAGCTGCCTGGAGCAAAATACTACCGCTATGAGGTGCCTCAAGGAAGAAAGGGCCTGGTTTCTTTTCAAGGGATCACACTTATTCTGATGGGCTTTATACAACAGTAGCAGTATAATCTCACACCTTCACATTTTGCTAAAAATATACACAGGTACGTTGAAATACAGATGGTCACATCCTCACCTACACTTCCCCCTGCCCCTTGGAATCTAAGAATTAGACTCAGTGGCACTTAAACAGAGACACATCCCTACCACCTTAGTTACTTTTCTAAAGTTTTACATAGTGTCTCACTGAGTTGCTGAAGGCCTTGATAAGTTGCTGAGGCTGGCTTTGAACTTGTGATTCTCCTGCCTCAGCTGCCACTGGGTTTACAGGCATATACCACCACTCCTGGCCTCACCTTCAATCTTAAAATGTAGCACTAAGCCCTCTCTAAGTCACAATACCTTTATGTATTGGGGCGGGTTTGTGTTCATATGAGAACCAATTTATTTGCAAATAATGGAGTTGCTGGTGCACGTAGGGACACAGGAAAGGTCAGAGCAGGTCCCCTAGGTGGAGAACTGAGCTCAGAGCAGTACTGTTTGAATGAGAGTCCAGTGGGGACCATTTATGGTCATCTCAGGGTAAACTGCCACATCTTCCCAGGGCCAAATATTCCTGAGTATTGCTCCCGCACCTCGTACCAGCATGAGGATCAGGCCACCCATTCCCACAGGTCAACTAGTGGCACTGATTAAAGATGAGCCACACAGTGGAAAATACTTTCCCTGTGTCACTTCAGGCTGTCCCTGGAGGGCAGATACACTTGTGAGGACTCACTGTCCATCTGTCCTGACATCTAAGTTAGGGTTGTGCTGGTCGGTGACTACCGCTGTACTGCACAGGTCCACTGCAGCTGGGAGGTGGCATCGTCTTGGACTGGCATTTGCTCTGTGGCCAAAGCTCTGCAGGATGCTG